GCACGGTGTCGGTGCTGTTCAAGCGGGAGAGCGGGGACTTCGTCAAGATCCCGTTGCCGCCGGCGCCCCCGGTGTTGAAGGGGCCTTTGTTGGTACCGCTTCCGCCACCGCCCTCGAGTACGGGTCGCAGCTGTTCGACCCCCTGCAGGCTTATGGTGCCCAAGCTCCGCGTGAAGAGCAATAATTCTTCCAAGAAGAAGAAGTACGGCAACGTGCACAAGGATCACAAGGATCCGAAGAATAAACCGACAAGTAATAAGAATATGGAGAGGAATAGTAAAGTCGACCTGAAGTCGCCGCTGCCGAAGATGTGGTGGACGCTGACGGGCAAGCAGAGTATTGCCCTCCGCTGCCTACTACACGAATGTGCTCGCCCGTGAGGTCCAGCAATTCGACATTTTCAGTGACGAGGGTTCCCGCCTGAGGAAGTCCAAGGCCAAGAACCGCAAGAAGAAGAATAAGGACAATCAGGTGATAGAGCCGCAGCTGGAGGTGCCCGCCTCCATCGCAGGTTCATCTCCTGCTGGTGGTGATGCACATCCTGCTCTACCCTCTTTCGGGCACCTGCGAGCTCAGGGCGGAAAGTTTGGTTGTTATGTCGACGGCTACTTGTTCGGCTTCTGCTTACGGTGTTCCCTCCGCGGTGTACGCGGCTAGCGAGAAGTCCTGGGCCTCTCCCGAGCTGCTCGCCAAGCTGCGGCTGCTGGGCCACGTGTGCCCAGACTGAGCCACCGACCTCATGCAGGAGAGGTTCGCGCACGAGTTCTTGGAACGTTTCGATTCCCATTTTCGCCGGCTTCTAGTTTTTTTCGGGTCAACTCCCTCCTCTTCCACCTGGTCCTCTGAGCCAGCAGCCCTGTCGCCCGATCGCCTCGGCAGCTCGTGCGCGCAGCGATCCGCAGCCAAAAAATCATCTCTCTTCTCTCCTCCCTCCTCCTCCCTCCGCCCTCCTCCCTCCTCCCTCCTTCCTCTTCCCTCTCCTCCTCCTCCTCATCATCATCATCCTCCTCCTCGTTATCATCCTCTTGCTCTTCCTCTTCCGACTCCTCCTCCTCCTCTTCCGCCTCCTCGTCCTCCTCCCTTTCTCGTCTTCCATTCCGTATCCTTGTATTCAAAAACCTCTCCTTGTCGCGCCTGGGTCCATCAGGGCACGATCTGGGATGAGAATCCAGTGCGGCGGTGGTCGAGCGATGTGGTGCCAGGGACCGAAATAGTCCTGCGGTCTGAGGTCGCGCCCCTGTCCCGCGTCACGCTATCTGTTTGTCATGCTCTTCTCCGTTTTACCGCACCTCGGTCTATTCATTTCTCCGTCTCTCCAGCTTCCTGTGTCCTCGTCTCTCAGTCGTCGTCGTTCGGCCAACGAACAAATCGTCGTCGTCCTTGTTGATAGTGTTTGCGATCACTTGCGAATGAACCCTACCCTTGCGGGTCCGATTGTTGCTGGGGTACCAGACACCCCCGCTGGGGTTCACCTGGCTGCAGGCATCCTTCGAGTTCTGAACCCCAGCTTGTGTTGTTCGGCGTCGCTTCTCCTGTCCCCATCCCCACCGGGCCATGGCGTCTCAGCCCCACCATCCCATCGCCCCACTCGGGGATGGGCCGCTCGAAGCCCGAAAAAAACAGACTTCCTCCTTATCCATCCAGGGGGGTAAAATCGGCCAGCGGGGCCAAGGCCATGCTGGTGGGGATGGGGATCGGCGAAACGATGCTCACAGGGGCCGGGGTCATGTGTTGCTGCCGGTCTGTCCCTCCGCCGCTCTCGCTCTTTGCGCTCCTTCAGGCCCGCGCCCACTGAGTTCGGCGCTCCGCCCCAGGATCCTGTCCCGCGGCGATCCCAAGAGCGCCAAGAAGATGATCGAGACCATCCAGTCTTGCTCCCTGGCGACGGATGCAGCAATCCCCTGCCACGGCCCACTCCGATCTGATTGATCCGGTTCGATATCGGCGATTCCGATGTTTTGCCGATCTGGAGTGGCCCGATTCGATGATGACTGATTCTGTCTCCACCAGCCTCTTCACTGGGGGTCCTGCGGGAAGGGGTCAGACGGGGCTAGGACGAGGGTAAATCTGCTCCCGAGCGTTCCGCAACGCTCTCCGAGCGCTCTGGAACGCTCTGAGAAGGCCGCGGCGCCCCAGACGTTCTCCAGAGTCGCCGCATCTCAGAGAGATCTTCGACTTATCCTCGCCCAATTTTGCCCTCGTCCTGGCTTCGTCTTGGAAGGGGCCCCCGAGTGTTCATCGACCGTTTTTCCGGCCCCCCTTTTTCCAGCAAGAAAATTAGCCAGACGAAGGACCCAACCATATGCAGTTGTGATTACTTCGTTGTGGATGTCGCCTTCGATGGATCTCCTTCTAGGGCCACGAAGCGTGTGAAGGTTGTTCCGATTTGGGGAGGGGGGGGCGCATGTGTACCCTTTCATCGGGTCCTTCGGTGGAGCTGCCCACATGGCCACGATATTTGTGAGGGCTGTTCGCGTTGGCCCAAAAGGGGGTCCAGCGACAAGGGGGTGGTGCAATAGACTTGGTACACTATGTTTGTGGGGTTGTAATATTTTGTGATACATTTGTGGTGTGCAATACATTCCAGCGCGCAAATGTATTGCTGGTTGTCGTGTGCAATACTTTGTTGCAATACAATGCAATATAATTCTCTGGCGCAATACATTTGCAACGCAATTGCCCCAAACTCATTGCACCACCCCCTTTCAGCTGGACCCCCTTTGGGGTCACAATGAGATGTGGCGAAAGGAGCTTGTGATGGCGGTGCCGAATGGGAAGGGGAGAGGAGAGATGAAGAGGAGGACGCTGGGTACGGTCTCTTCAAAACGAGGATCCAACATCGCAGGATGGTTGGGAAAAGCAAAATGTGGGCGAGGCGGCGGCGCGACACCAAAGTGTCATGGGAGATATGAGAGTAGTACTCATATTGGATAACTGCGGCGGGGGATGAGTAGGAGGAGGAGCAGCAGGAGGAAAGAGGGTGAGAGGGGGCGAGAGGGGGTGAGCGGGAGAGCTGGGGAGAGAGGGAGAGGGAGAGAGAGAGAGAGAGAGAAAGTGAGAGAGAGAGAGACGAAGAGAGAGGGAGAAAGGGATAGACCGCTTTCGAGACACCGCATCGGCAGGCCCGATGCGTCTCTGACGGCGGTATCCGAAGGATGTCGCTCGTGCAAAAATGTGTTTTCCAAGGTCTCTCGCTCGGGCCTGCCTTCTTACCCATTCTCTTGTCCCGACCTTCCTCCAATGGGGAACGCCGACGTCGTCGCCGCCGCCGTCGCCTGCCGTCGTCGTCGTCGTCGTTGGCGTCGCCGCCGCTGTCGTTTTCGTCGTCGTCTGTCGTCGTCGTTCCCAATGGGAGGGAGGGAGGGAATGGAGAGGGGACAAGAAGGCAGGTCCGCGCAAGCGGTCCGGCCGGCGCTCTGCGCCTCCACCAGCTTGCGCAGCGGCATGCACGCCTTTTGTGGCGGTTCTTGGGGATAGTCCCGCTTCCGCTGGCTCGCGCTCACTGGTGGCGCCGGGAGATGCACCGTGTTTTCAAACTGCTTCAGTTCGCCAGCCCACCGGGCCAGGGGCATGTTTAGATCTCCAGTCGGAGGTTGGGGGGTGAGATCGCAGTGGAACGGAGACCCCCAACCGGGAAATCGTTTCGCTTCGTTCGTGTCGTGCTTGCGGGCGAGGCGAAGCTGCGTGGGCGCGCGAGAGGAATGAACCCGCCGTTGCTAGGGCGAAGTCAAGACAAATGTTTCTCCTCCGTCCGTCCAGCGGTGGCTTGAGCGGTGTCCCGCGGTGTCCCGTGGTGTCCCACCTGATATCCCACATCCATCACCTGATATCCCACATCCAACATACACTGCTCACGATCCGAGCTTCAATGCCCAAGATCTAAGGTCCGAGATTCAAGATCCACGGCACATGGCCCAAGGCCAAATATCCAAGATCCAGGGTCCTAGGTACAAGGTCCAAGTAGCAAGGTCCAGGGTCCAAAAGGTCAATGATTGACCCACTACGGGTGCATGATGGATCCAGCATGGGTCCAAGATGATGGGCCCAATATGTTTACAATATGGACCCAAGGCGGGCCCACAATTGACCCAGTATGGATTCAAACTGAAACCGCTTTGTTCGATTCCAGCTTGGGCCCAAGATGGGTACAGGACGGATTCAAAATGAGTCCAAGCTGTGCTTCACCACCGGCCGTTCGTTTGCTTTCCGCTGCGAGAAACTGAACTCCATCACCTACCGTTCGTTGGCTTTCCGCGGCTGGGAACTGAACAGAAACCGAACTCCAACACATGTTCTTCGTTTGCCTTCCGCGGCAGTACACTGAGCTCCACCGCCCAACCGTTCGTAGGCCTTCCATGGCAGGAAACCGTGCTCCACCACCTACCGTTCGTTTGCCTTCCGTTGCAAGAAACTGAGCTCCACCACCTACCGTTCGTTGGCATTTCTGCGGCTGGAGACTGAATGGACGCCGAACTCCACACTCTACAGTTCGTTTGCCTTCCGCGGCAGGGCGCTGAGCCCGACCGCGTGCCATTCGTTGGCCTGCCATGGCAGGAAGCTGTTCTCCACCACTTACTGTTCGCGGGCATTCCGCTGCAAGATACTGAGTTCCACCGCCTGCCGTTTGTTGGCCTTCCGCGGCTGGCAACTGCATGGGGGCCAAAATCCTCCACCTACCGTTCGCTGGCCTTCCGTGGCAGGAAACGGAGCCCCACCACATGTCGTTCGTTGACCTGCCATGGCGGGAAACTGCGATCCACCACATACCGTTCGTTCGACTTCCGCTGCAAGAATCTGAGCTCCACAACTGACCGTTCGTTGGCGTTCCGCGGCTCGGAACTGAATTGCCACCGAACTCCGCAACAGATTATTCGTTTGCTTTCCGTGGCAGGACGCTGAGCTTCCCCGCCGACACCTCGTAGGCCTTCCATGGCAGGAAACTGCGCTCGACCACGTGCCGTTAGTTTGCCTTCCGCTGGAATAAATTGAGCTCGACCGCCCACCGTTCGTTGGCGTTCCGAGGGTGGAAACTGAATGGCGGCCGAACTCCACCACCTACCATTCGTTTGCCTTCCATGGCAGGAAGCTGAGCTCCGCCGCCTGTCGTTCGTTGGCCTTCCATGGCAGGGGACGGTGCTTCACCACTTGCCGTTCGTTCGACTTCCGCTGCAAGAAACTGAGCGCCATCGCATGCCGTTCGTTGGCCTTCCGCGGCTGGAAACGGAATGGG